CCGTGCAGTTGGTGGGGTCGATTTTGCAGCGAATGGCGGGGCGATTGGATTTGTGGGGTAATATTTTTATTATTTTTGTATTATTTTTGTTGTTTATTTATTATTATTGTTGTTATTTATTGTTATTATTGTTTATTTATTATTATTGTTGTTATGATTGTTTCGTATTATTGTTTTTGTTCTTGTGGCTAAGTTAATTGAAAGGGGACGCATTGGAGTGGTGGATGTGGGAATATTCGGGAGGTCAGAGGTCATCCAGGGCGAGATCAGCGGGTATTTGGGGTGGAAAGTGTGAAAAGAAGACGAGTTGAGGCGATTAGACGTTTAAAGAGAGGTCAGAGACGCAGAGGAACTATGGATTTCTACCAAATGTACCAACTCTGACTGTCTGCGCTCTGGACGATTTGACTGTCTGCGCTCTGACCGGTTTGATTTCAGTGTGGTACCATTTGAGCGGATGCATTCATTTTGAGTTGGTGAGCGCGTCGTGGGCAGTTGTGTGTGGGTAGTGGGTGTTTATTTAGTGGTTTGGGTCGATTATGGTGATGTGTCGTCGTATATCGATATTATTGTGTTGTTGGTGCTGTTATGGGTTCGATAGTATTCGTTATATTATTATTATGATCAGACCTAATCGATTTCTCGGTTAAATAATAGGAATGTGTATGTTATTATTGTGACGAGACTGTTTTAGGTATTCTCTGTTGCTAAAGTAATAGTAAATAGTATGTTTGGGGCGAGGCGTGTTCGATAGTGATATGCGATGCCGTGCAGTCGTCGTTGGCTGCACTCTACCCAATGTACTCTACGTGTTTGCGCTCTAACCGTTTTGATTTTAGTGTGGTGATGCCATTTGAGTGACTGCATTCATTTTGAGTTGGTGAGTGCGTCGTAGGCGGTTGTGTGGCGTAGTAGGTGTTTATTGGGTGGTTTGGGTTGCCTATGGTGATGTGTCGTCGCGTATTGTTATCATTGTGTTGTTGGTACTGCTGTGGGTTCGATAGTATTTGGTATATTATTATTGTCGTACCTAATTCGGATGAATAATGAGAATGTGCGTGTATTATTGTTGTGATGCGACTATTTTAGGTATACTCTGTTATTAAAGTAATAGTAACGATGGTAGTAATAGTAAATAATATGTTTGATAGTGATACGCGTTGCAAATGGACTCTGACCGTCTGCACGCTGACCGATTTTCGCACACGGTAGAATCGGTCAGTGCGCANGTCTGCATCCTGCGTGTCTGCACTCTGGCAGATCTATTTATTAAGTGGTACCATTTTAGTGGTTGCATTCATTTGGGTCGATGGGTGTGTCGTGGGCGGTTGTGTTGGGTCGTGGTTGGTGTTTACTCGCTGGTTTGGGTTATTCATTGCGTTGTGCTGTTATTCAATATTCAGTGTTATTCAATATTCAGTATATTATGGTTGTATTATTGTGTATACTTCTACCCGAGAAGCGGGTATATCTGATAGTAATAATAATGTATTGGATGTGTTTTAGGTAAAGCCCGGGATGGGTTGGGTGCGGTTGGGTAAGGATTTATGATGTATTCAAGTGTATCCGGATCACTCGGCTATTTTAGACGTTAATT